TGGAGATTTTAGCCTTAGATGGTAGAAGCACATCTCTAACATTTTGTCAGAGGAAAGTATGATTATCATGTAGGTGTTTGCAGGTATTAAGATAAAAAGTTGAGGGAGTGCCTGCCTGATGTCTTGCGTTTTCCTTTCCCTGTGGTATTTTTGCATGTGGTCATCCACTGAAGGTGAAGAGGGAAGTAGTACGCTAGGAGATTTGAGGAAAGTGGAGAAATGCTCAGGTGTTGACTACAGAACATGATGAAGAACTCCTCAGGCAAACTAGGGGTCACAGGCAGCTTTGAGTGTCCAGCTCAGGTGAGAGACTGAATTTGTAGTGGCACTAGTCAGAGTGATTATGTGATTTCCTATGACAACACTCAGCATCGAGTTGTAGGAGTGGAGATGGGAGACAGTTGATTGAGGATTGGGGTTTTGCTCTGTAAGATGAAAGGATGACAAGGTGAAGATGTTAAGGACTCAGCAAAAGTGATTAGAGTAATGGTCCAAAGAGTCTAGACTGCTTAGGGATTGAAGTGGAGATGGGGTTGATAGCAGGGAGGATGTAGAAGGGGCATGGGAGTGAAGGTCAGTGAGGGCTGACTGGATTTGAGATTTCAAGAGTGGAGCAGTTGAGGAGAAGACAGTTGCAGAGTATGGTGGTAGGCCTGTTGGGGGCAAAGGTTATTTCAGTTGAGGTGGTCAAAGAACTGAGAAGCCAGTGTTATGTGGATGGTTTAAATGGACAGTGAAGTCCTCTCGAATGACGGAGGAGGGAGAGGAAGACTAACCCAGGTGCCAAAATACCAGTAAGTGGTGGAGGTTGGTAAATTACCTGAATTAGCAGGGGGGAAAGGTGAGATTACCACAGATTTTCAAAGGGATCAGGGCGTTTATGTGAAAGTCAAGGAGTAATAATCAGGAAGCTTTGAGGAAGAGAGGAGGACACCAGTGTACATTGAATGTGAGGGAATAAGCAACATATGTATGAGAAAGCTATATGGGAGTATTTTCCAGTAAGAGCCAGATTTCAGTTAAACCAAGGAGGGAAGGACTCTGAGTGCTGGATTGAGAAAGGGGGAAGTTTTGATTATAGGCAGTGGGATTCCAGATAGCTATGACTGGGAGGGGGGCATCTCAGTTGCCTCTGCAACTGAGTAAGTGTGAGCTCTGTATTTATACCCAAGATGGAATAGGGGCTCCATTCCTACTGAGGTGCTTGGTTCTTTAGCACCTACTGCAGGTGCTGTGTACCTACAAGGTGCCAGGCACTATGTTTGGGATATAAAAGTGAATAAGGAGTTCTCAGTCTCTGCCCTTGAGAGCTCAGAATCTAGTGAAATAGATGGACACATAAACCTAGGTCCATGGCAGTGACTAAGTGTGATGATTTGAGAGCTCTGAACAAGGAAGCCTAGCTCAGCTCAGGAATGGGGGTGGGAGTTCAGAGCAAACTTCTGGGCCATGATGACTGAATGTGAATTAAGTGAGGTAAACGAGACAGAAGTGGGAATGTGCATCCAGGCAAAGGCACAGAATAGCTAATAAAACACAGCCTATGTATGGCGAACTGTAAGTAGCTTTTGTTGCCAGGATCTTAACTATGAGGAAAGCAGTGGTGAGAACACGACAAGTGTCATATCTTGTTGTGTGTGTGTGTTTTTTTAAGTGTCACATCTTGGAAGGCTTCATAGGCCTTGTTTCGGACAGCCACTGAGGGGTTTCAGGGAGGACAGTGAAAAAGATAAGCATGTAGGTAAGTGCCGGCAAGGGGGAGGATGCATTTAAGGGGTCCTCTTGCTAAAGGCTGGCTTCCCTATTAGCAAGGAAAGGGGGACAGATCCTAAGAAGATAAAATAACTTTCCATGTCTTCTGAAAGAAGGAGGGGGCAGGGCAAATTCCTCACCAAATTCTCAGCTTTGGGCTGCATTTAGCCACTTTGCTCTGCTCTGCTCCTCCTTCACAGAGCCCAGCAACTTCATGGCTCCACCTTTTGGCTATTCAGAGCCTTCTGTTTGGTACTCTGTACCCTAATGTTGCGGTCCCTTAATATCTACTTGAACTTGAATCTATTACCCTGATCTTCAGCTTTTGAATTTGTAAACAATGTTTTATTCCCTTCAGCATTATAAATCTGAATAATAAATTCACATTTAGGTGTGAATGTCTGAGAGCCTTCTCTCACATTATTTTTGTTTTGTATAATTTGGGAGTAGTGCTTAATAGTCATTTTTTCAAAACTATATTCCTTTTCTTTTTAACAATTTTTAAAATTTTTATTTATTTATTTTTGGCTGCGTTGGGTCTTTTTTGCTGAGCATGGGCTTTCTCTAGTTATGGCGAGCAAGGGCTACTCTTCGTTGTGGTGCCCGGGCTTCTCATTGCAGTGGCTTCTCTTGTTGTAGAGCACGGGCTCTAGGCGCGTGGGCTTCAGTAGTTGTGGCGCATGGGCTTAGTTGCTCCACGGCATGTCGGATCTTCCGGGACCAGGGATCGAACCCATGTCCCCTGCATTGGCAGGCAGATTCTTAACCACTGTGCCACTGGGGAAGTCCCAAAACTATATTCCTTTAAAAAAATATTATAATAGTAATATATGTCCATTGTTGAAAATTTGAAAAAATAGAGAAGCAAATGGAAGAAAATTAAAACCACCTATAATACCTCTCTCAGAGATAATTACTGCTAACATTTTGTGGTATAGACTTCTGAATTCACTGTGTGTGTGCGTGTGTGTATACAAACTTTTTGAAATAGAAATTCTTCCAATTTTATGAAAACATATTACATCATCTACATCAGAGGATACTGGTCTGGCAGAATCAATATTCAAGAAGTACTTCCCGTTTCCTATCAAATGGATATAAGACCCATATATTCTACTTGTTACTGAATTTTGTACTGATGATTAGATTAAATACAGTAATTTGGCCGCCTTTGAGCCAGAAAGGGCCTTTCGCATGTTTCCTCTTGGAATTTTGGCCTTGTGCCTATGTGCAGGTATGTTACAAAGGAATTTATATACTTTATAAGCCATGACAAAAATTTTCCATTTAGTAGCATTTTGGGCTTACTCTGTTGCTGAATATCTGTTGGTAATAAAAATGTCCCCGGGTCTTCCCTGGTGACGCAGTGGTTGAGAGTCGGCCTGCCGATGCAGGGGACGTGGGTTCGTGCCCTGGTCCGGGAGGATCCCACATGCCGCGGAGTGGCTA